GATAATGAAGCATCTTGTATCGGCAAGACTTGAAAGAATTAAAAATAAAATACAATAAAATACTTTTTTTATGATAATCTGGGATCAATCTGGAATTAGCTCTTGCAGTTCTACTCCTGAAAGTTTGTCAATATTTGTGCAGATTCTTCGGTGTTACGAACAGCGGACTTTGAAAAAGCTGGAAACTCCTTGGTTCAAGCAAGTGTCAATCTGTTATCTCATAGGTTGATTTTTAGATGTTGTGGCTTATTTCTTAATTTTTGATATTATTATTATATACGTCACCACATATCAAATTCGAGCAAAATTCCGCCCAACGAAACTAGGAAATAAAAAAAAAGACGCGGCTACACAATGTAAGCTGGAGCACTTTATAAAAATAGTATTGTATTTTTTTTCGAACTTCTATTCCCTGACTATCATTACTATTTTATGTTTAGTTTCTATAATAAGTAGCCGTTTCTTCTTCCTCTTAATAAAACAACTTGCTCCGCTCCGTGTGCAAAACATCAAAAGGTCCTTGGCAACATGGAGCGGGATACTTACGCTCTATATCATACTTTGGGTGTACAAAAAACTGCTACCGAAGAAGAGATTAAAAAAGCATATAGACGTTTAGCATTAAGATACCACCCTGATAAAAATCCAAGTGCTACCGATCAGGTTCGTACTTTATTATTTCTCTAATTATTAGGTCTGAAGTATTGATGAACTTACAAAATACCTTAGTGTCTAGTAAATACTTTTAAACCGTATTTACTATATTTCAAGTTTAAATATTTTACTTTATACCTTATAAAAAAAAAACTGTACTACTTTTTTTTTTAATACTTTATACATATATATATTTAATTTAATACATATATATATATATATCTTTTACAAAAGTTCAAGGCCATTACTCATGCTTATGAAATCCTAAGCGATCCAAAAAAGCGTCAAGTGTACGATAAATATGGAGAGATGGGAATTAGTATGCTGGATTCTGTAGCCGGTTTCCTGTTAGATCCTGACATTCAAGGACCATTATGCTTGCTATTCACCATACTTTCAATTCTGATTATCCTCATGATCCTGTTTTTCGTCTTCTTATCAATACAAATAGATGGTTCTGTATCATGGAGTTATGGGGTTGTATTCATACCAATATGGATTGAAGATGTTCTTTTATTTTTTGTATTTATTGCTTATGCAAATGCAAGAAAAGATTCTTCGGAAAATGATGATGATGATTATGAAGGTTTATATCATCAAGATCCTGAGGTTAGAGAACAAGCTAGGGAAGCAAGGCGAAAACAACAAAGAGCTCTCTCAAGGACGCGGAATTTTTTATATAATATTTATTTGGTAATGATCTTATTATTTCAAGTTTTTATCGTTCTTCGAGCTGATAATATAATAACATGGAAAGCCGCTATGATATTTGCTCCTTATTTTGTTGTCGAGGCAATCAACTTATATCCTACTTTCTTAGTTTATTTGGATCTGTTAAAATCTCCTATAGTACTTGATGTCAATGGCAATTCTTCTCTTTATCTTAAGATTAAGTGTTTCTTTGATACTTTTTGGTGGTTTGCCATTCGTATTTCTCTTGCCATTTTAATTGTCCTCAAAATTGATCAAATTATCAATTGCGATTGGGCTGTTGTTTTCATCCCATTATATCTAGTTGGTATTAGATATGGTTTTCAAATTTTATGGCTATGGTGGAATTTAAGGAGAACTGAACCTTTGCAAAATAAGGGAAGAGTGGATGTCATTGTTGGTGCCGTTTCATTTATCATTGTGGGTTCATT